GGCCACTGTACAAATAACTCAGATATTTAACTATGTCCACCCTGGCTGGGTCCAATGCCTGCTGAAAGGAAAGGACACTTCTAAGAAGCCACTATCCCCTGCAGGCAAGTCACACGGACCTCCTCCTCCCACAGGCCATAGCAACTCTACCCAATATATCAGCCTCTTTGCTGGAGCAACCCATTAGGATCAGGCGATTTGTCACCAACTGCTATTCATGTTTCACCACTCATTTCATTAGATGCTGCCAGGGAAAGACCCAAAACAGAAAAAGTAGAAACACACTTTTGGACTTTGGCCTCTCTTTGGCCACTTTATGCCAAAAATCCCAAAGACGTCTGAACAGCTAAAGACAACAGGCATGTCCAGCAAGAAATTCTCAGCTGGTGTCTGCTGTGAGCCATAGTCTCCAGGGCACCACTGCTCCAAGTGTGGTTTGTGAGCCCGCAGCATCACTGGGGGCTGTGAGAGACAAAGGCTCCCAGTCTGAACCCGGACCTTCCAAATCAGAATCGGTCTCTTAGCAAGGTTCTCCAGGTGACTCGTGCACACTTGAAGCACTGGACTAGGAAACCAGGAAACAGTAAGGCTGAGACCTTCAGCATCACCAATTCAGTCGATGAAGGCCCACTGACCCGGCATGCAGATTAGGTAAACGCAATGGGATAGGGGCCTGCAACAGAGATAGATATCTTCCAGATCCCAATTGGAATTTGCATAATTTGGCACTTATGACCTGAGGAATCAAAACACTGGAGGGCACGGCAGGATCAATTCCAATACCCAGGTCAGCCAAAGTGGCTGGTAACCTGCTGAGCCGAGGTGGCCCCTGGCAGAGGACACAACCCCTGAAGGAACCACAGAATCACAAGCCTGTCAAAGAAGTTAAAGAAAAACACTAGTTCCTAAACCAGAGGGTGGCAGAAAGAGCCCCCAGTGGCCGGGAGAGCTCTGAGTAGAGCCCACGCCACCCACGGCTGCTGTCTACAGCCTTCAGAAGGCGCCTCCACCACGCCAAGGACAACACCCTCTCAGCTCTACGCTCCCAGCTGGGGACTTTTACACTGCAAAGACTCTCAACTCCACTGGCCCAGAATGCAAAACGGAACTGGAGCCCCGTCACTGTGGGCTCAGCACGCTAACTCACTGGGGGTGCTTCTTGTAGACGGAGCCGTCCACCCCGATGGTGGACCGCAGCCGCTCCTCGCCCTTGTTCTCCTTGATGCGCCGCAGCACGGCTGCCAGGGTGGCCGCGCACAGGTTGGCTGAGCGCGTGGACACAATCTGGCAGATCCGGTGGGTGGCCACGCAGTCCTCCTGTGTCGGGTCCAAGCCCAGCCGCACCAGGATCTCGCGAGCCTTCCGGATGCCATCCTTCTCCCTGGGAAACAGAAAGGCAGCGCGTGGGCACGTGTTCAACCCCCTGTGACCAGTAGGGAGGGGTTGTGCGGGGCTGAGAAGGAAACCCTTCAGCTCCAGCAGATGCCATCTACCCTCTTCACTGCTCTGCCCACCAACAGGGGGCGTTGAACAAAGAGGGGAAACACAACCCAAAGCTCCTCTCCCAGACAGATGGATGGGCTGGGAAACAGAAAGGCAGCGCGTGGGCACGTGTCCAACCCCCTGTGACCAGTAGGGAGGGGTTGTGCGGGGCTGAGCAGGAAACCCTTCAGCTCCAGCAGATGCCATCTACTCTCTTCACTGCTCTGCCCACCAACAGGGGGCGTTGAACGAGGAGGGGAAACACAACCCAAGGCTCCTCTCCCAGACAGATGGATGGGCAGACCGACTCACACACACACACACACACACACACACACACACAGTAAGTGCCTCTCTTTCCTGACCCGATGAGAAAATCTGATATTTCTTATCACATAATGTATTAAGGACAAGGCCCTGTTCTTGGAGCTTTACACACTGAGCTGTGCATGTGTGAGTCTGTGCTGTTTGCTTGAATCTAGGGGTAGATAGAGGGAACAATGTCCCTGCCACCCGCTACCCGCCACCTCTGACCGTGTAAGCCCAGTTGTGCAGCCCACCCTATTTTCTCTCTATAAAGCAGTCAGTCTACTGCATTTCACACCGGGGTAGGCACTGCTTAACTTGTGCTAAGGACAGCGATAAAGATAAAGGGCTGGTGCTAGAGACTAGCACCCTTCGCAGGGGAATGAAGCGCCTCACAAATTTGAGTACTTTCATGCCCTCGGGGCTTAACAAGTAGGCACAGTTCCTTCAAGAGTTTCCACTTCGTTTATAGACTGTTTCGTGGCTCCCTCTAGCACCAAAATCACCTCCTCTCCACCATCTGAAACAACAGAGCCCCCTCAAGCCACAAGTGGAAGTCTCAAAAACAGGAATCAAGGGTCAATTATGGACATTGTTAACTCAAAAACAAAAATTAAGCCATCTTCATGCCCATCCCTGCTGCTCTGAGAAAATGCAGGCCTCAGCTCTACCTATTAGAACTAAATGAGTAAATCTCAAAGCTGTTCAAGGATCTATTTTTCTATTATGTGAAGCAGTGGTCAGAATGGAGCCTTTTTTGAGAATCGACAATAGAGAATGGACTGTCAGAGTTTCGGGAGAAGGGAAAGGAAGTAGATGCAAATGAGTCAATCAAGGGGCTCTACTAGGAGCCTCCAGCCATTAAGCCAAGCCTCCGCTCCCCCTGCCAGGCAGGGATGCAAGTGTGACATCCCTGTCTATGGGACCTAGTCATTCCCAGCATGAGTCACTTCGATAGTCAAAATAGACAGGAGTGGAGGCTATGTGGTAAGTGAAGTCAAGCCATAGCCCTCCCCCACCCATGGCCCATGTTGGGTGAGACCACATTTGAAAGGTCAAGGGCAGTGTCCCTCCCTCACTCCCCATCTGCCTGTCCACTCCTCAGTGAACAGAGAAGGACCCCAAAGCTTACCCTTCTATGTCGGAAACATCTTTTGTCTCAAAGCGGCCTGTGGCAAGGAGTTCGGGGCTGAGCTTCCCTCTGAAAAGCAGCTCCTCCTTGGCCATCTTCACCAGGATTAGCCTCACCAGTTCCCCCATGTACATCCCACTGATCATCTTCTCAAATCTGCAGGGAGATACAGACCGGAAAACAAATGAAGTACCTGCTATCCATGAACTCTCAACTTCCCTGTGGAGGAAACACGCACACATGTGAAACTTCAATAAATGTTAGAGGCTTATGCACAATGAAGCATTAACTTGTGTGGCACTGACTAGAAATGAGAAGTGCAGAGAAGTGACAGTCAGAGCAGGGTAGAGGGACTGCAGGAGCTGGGAAGCTTGGGCTGTCTCCGCAGGCAGGTGGGCCTTGACCTATGAGGAAGGATGGGCTTTTAGCAGGCAATCTAAACATCCAGGGGGTGTGGGACGTTCTGGAACAGTCTGAATTTTAGGTAAAATAAGTTACATGTAGGGTAGTGAGTTTTAATTTTTTTTCTCTACTAGTGATTTTTTTAAAAATAAACCTTATGTACAGCCTCAATATTTATTTACAAGAGAAAAAGGTCAATCTGATTAAATTTGGGGGCTTACAGGACCAGCAACTCATCACCTCACGCTGCCTCTCCTCTCTAGTAGGCCATTTGTGGATTCCTAAGACAAGTGTGAAAACAACAGGGTGGGAAGGTGAGGGAGGAAGGAGATGGGACAAGATTAGAAGGGCAGGTCGAGACAGTTGAGAAGCTCTAAATGTCACATGGTCTTGGAAATCTGGGAGTGAGACATGCTGGAAGTTCCTGAGCAGGCAGGTGATAAGATATAAAGGCGAGTTTCAGTACTAGAGGCCGGCACCAAGCTGAGGGCAGTCGGGTAATTAATTTTTCCAACACTGGGTGGCACTGTTTTCTTTAGAAGACAGTTTCTGGCTCAGATTGTGTAACAGGAGAAAACAAGCCTTTACCATTCTTTTTGGCAAAAAAAAAAAAAAAAAAGGCCCTTTCTTGGTATCTCAGAAGGGATCTGGGTCCTTAGGGAGAGGAGGCTTCCAGGGCCTGTGGGCACTAACTAGGCCGGGCTTCAGTGAGGAGGCCCAGGACAGGGGTCCGGTAAGGATGTCACCTGGTGAGATCTACCAGAAAGGAAGCTGGGCCCTCACAAAGTGACTTGCTCGAGACCCGAGGTCAAGTATGGTAGAACTGGAGCTCAGTGGAGAGCTGGCACAACTGCTTGAGTAGAGGGCGTATTTAAAATGTTTAGGCACCAGCACAGACCACTGCCTGAGAGGCCAACCAGCCTCAACAGCAAGGCTCTCATGTGCCTGCTTCTGCAGCTTCTCAGAAATAGGTGGCCCTGTGGGAGGTAACGGAGGAGTCCAGTGGGACTCTGAAGCGTGAGCGGTTTTTAGAAGTTTTTATTCCAGTTTTTAAGAACACTTTGTTTCTATCAACAAAATACTTGGAAAATACTTATTTAGAAACATAAAGAGTGAAAAAAAGTTCCTACTCAGGCCCAGTAATGACTCAGGGTCATTAGACCATGGCTGACACTGGTCTATGTCCTCCCAGCCTCTGATTTGTCTAAGGCTGAGCCAGTGATGGGTTGCCAAGGCTGGGCTGGCACTTCTGTCTTCTGACACTTCTAAGGACGTAGGGCTCCTTTGAATGGCACATGTGTGCCTCACTGACAGGGGCAGATACCGAGTGAGTGACTTTTCAGTTCATAAATTCCTCACCAGCCATGACAGACATAGCCAGTATGTTCCTATGAAAAAGTTGCAAGTAAATGGCCTTTCATTTCAACATGTGAGAAGCTGGAGACTTAAATCAACCATGCTTCCTTGAGGAAGCGAGGATTCTCCTTGTAAAGAAAAAGGCCCCCACCGCTGAGCTGGTTTGCAGGGTTGGATTTTCCTCTCCAAGCAGAGATCTGCACTACCAGCTCCCCTGCAGTAGTCCCAGTAGCAAGAAGACCAGAGAGGGCCTGAATTGCTCAAAATGTTTTGCAATTGCCTTCCAATCTTACAGCAATCCCTGTTTCAAGATCTTTAAGCGACATTTGGCCAACGTTTGTGATAGTGAAATAATGTTTTGTAAGAGTCAAAAGTAACTAAACGCCAAGTCAGGCCAGGCTGGATAGTATAATATTCAGGATCCAAACGTTGGAGCCCTTCCTCCAGTCCACCCCAGGACCCTGGCTGGGCCACAGGTCCAGGGAAGGCAGCCAAGGAGGAATCTTAGCCAACTTTTCCACAGGCCTTGGGTCTGCATACAGTTGGGGTAGGAAGCCCTGGGACTCCGTCAGGTCCAGCCTAGCTTACAGGCAATTTTACCAAAGGTCTGAGCCATCTGTCACAGCTTCATCATCCTCTGGGCAGTGACAGGGGTGGGAGCTACGAAAGGAGCTTTCAGAGACCTGAATCTTGGCCATCTCGACACTCTGCTATGTGGCTCACAAACCGTTTCCGAGGACAAATTAAAGATGGAAAAGAAGAGCAGGGCCACACACATAGACTCAGAATATGACCTTCTAAGACTACTGAAGGACATAGATTATTACCTATTATCTGATGTGTCTGCTCACTCTGTCCTTTTTAGAGGCCTCTCAAAAACTCTGTCGCAATTACATTGGCCAGCATGTAATGAGCACAAAATCCCATAACTAGTGGGCACCTTAGCAACTTTGGGGGATGTAAGACTGTAAAGCAAAAATGAGAACCAGGCTCCACCCGCCTGCCCCTGGCAGTCCCCACTGCAGCTCCTGAGCCTGCTTCCCGAGCCCACTGCTCACAGTTGCTTCCCGGGGTTCAAGGAGCCCATGTCGATCTCGTGGTCAAACTCGGTACGGATGTCATCAAGCACGCCGTCGTCCCCGAAGGCGCCCCACTCCATGTTGATGCACATCCGGCCCTCGTCACCTTCCACTGTGTCAATGTGGCGCATCTCCTCCATGTAGCAGGCGTTGCTGCCCGTGCCTGGCCAGAACAAGGGGCTGCTCAGCACCCACCCGCACCGTCCCCTCCCAGCCCCCACCTCCCTCTTGCCTCACCACCCTGAGACCACCCAGGGTGGCTGGGAGTCCTCAGAGCAGACTCCTGCAGCGTCCCAATGGGGTCCACTCCACCAGCGCGCCCCCCACTCTATCAACGCCCCCACTCCACAAGTCCTGGCTCAGCCCTCCAAAGTGACCACGCCGTTATCTTCCAGTATGAGGTACGAAGGAACATCCAGGTCATGGACGCCCCACCCCTTCCGGCCCACACCCCCAGCCATTGGCCAGCGCATCAGCCCTCACAGTGTTCACGCACCCACAATGAGACCAATCTCGCAGTTCTGGTCATCATAACCACAGGTCATCATGGTCCCAACCGTGTCATTCACCACAGCCACGATATCAATATCAAAGTCCTGCAGGGATAAAAGGGGGGCTCTGACCTTCACCGTCACAGAACGGTCATAGATGTGAAGATGGAGAGACAGCAGCAAGATGCACAGCTCGAGAGTAACAGGGTCGCACCCTGACTAACCCTACTCAAAACCGAAGAATGTCAGAGCTGGAAACTGGGTCCTGATCCAGTCCAATAGCTGCTTCTCACTCCCCTCTTCCCCTCATTTGTCCTCAGCACGGACTTCCCTTACCCCAGCCCCGCCGTCTGGTTCACAGCTATCACTGCACAAAGAAGAGTGAGACTGTCTTGTCATCAGTGTCATCTTCTTCTCTTTCTTTGTTTTTTTCTTTCTCTCTCTCTCTCCCCCCCTCCTCCCAGAAGGTCTTTTCCTTCTGTGACCTTTATCTTGTCCTCTCTGTGCCCCATTCTACCCTCATGCCAACATCATCCCAACTTTCTTTCTTGAAAATCATATTCAAGTCTTCTTCATATTAAGAACTAAAGGGTTTTTCTTGAACCAAGGCTAAAATTATTTATCTATTATGATCATCTGAGACCCCAAAGGCAGCTGATCACTTTTAAGATTGGTGTGGTAATCATTTCACAGTATATGTGTCAAATCATTAGGTAGTGTATCTCATACTGATACAGAGCTGTATGTCAATTATATCTCAATAAAACCAGAAAAAATAAAAATATATATTATTGGGTAAACATAGCAAGGAAGAAGAAAAGAAAACCTTGCCTTAAGAACCACAAAAGGTCCTCATTTGACTTGAGAACAGACTGGGGAAGACTTCAGAGTGGACCCCAAAGAGCCTCTAGAACCCCAGCTCCTGCCTCCCCATCCTGCCATCCCTACTCACCCCTCTCCTCTGGATGGCCTTCCGTATTAGAGTAACCACATCTTTGCCTTCCACACCGCTGGACTTGAACCCCTTAGTCCACGAGACCAGGAAGCTCTAGAAAAGAACCAAGGATGGAACAATTAATTCCTCACGCTCCTCAAACAACCATTAAGGGAGCCCTCTGCCTTGGGGCTAAACTAAAGCCATGCTCGAATGTGTATATTGCTTCCTATCTAGCTTAGGAAGGAGAAGTCCGGACCCCATCAAAGACCCGGAAAGGAGATTAAATAAATGATTCTGTCATGATCTGTAGCTCCCAAGAAGTGGAAAGGGCAGGCTACAGAAGTGCCAAAATAAGATACTTGTATCCTCCTCACAGCTTCCCGGGCATATTTCTTCCAAAGATCTTTATCACGACACTTTAGATCAAAGGAGTTCCTGACTAATTTCTCCCTTCTGTTTCCCTAATAGGGATGAAGATAATGTGCAATGTACTTAGGGTTACACATTGCCCTTTAAGGGGCAGGGAAACCTCTTCACCATCTCCCCACATCTACATACACACACTCACCCAGGACAGAACTCTCAATATTCGAGCCTCGTCCACACAACCATCAGAGCCTCCGCCCTCTGCCAACACCAAAGCAGCAGGTGGCTCGGGGTTCTTCCTCACCCTCCCAGCCCGGAAAATGAAGCAACAGAAGTATCTGAAGAATTCATCTTACCTCATCTAGTTTTGTCTGGATGCAGGGGAACGAAAAGGTAAAGCCCAAGGGGAGCTTCTTATCTTTGATTTGTAACGTATCCATGAAGTTAGCCAGGCATTCAGCAATGTGGTCGAACAGCTAAGGGCACACAACACAGGAAGATGAGCAGGGAGGCAGAATAGCATAGCGATTAAGAGCATGAACTTTGGGCTCAGAAAAGAACTAGCTGAATGCATACAAGATATGTAGCCCCTGTGAAGTCTTAATTTGCTCGGTCTATAAAATGGAGATGATAACTGTACCTGACCTCACAGAGTTACTAAAAGTATTAAATGGGTCAATAAATATAAGGGCACAACACTAGTTAGTGCTTATTAAATACTGTCCTCTACGTAAACCATTTATCCATACCACTGCCAAATTAACCCCATGAGGCAGGGGAAGTCGTAGCCAGAGCTAATCAGAATGTCAGCACGCTCTGGGAACAGAACATTCTTTCATGGCCTTGTCAGAATCCTCCCTGACATTGATGCACAGCTGACTGTCTTACCAGAAAGGGCAACCCATCTCGCTGCCAAGAGGTATTTTAGCATCCCTGTCTCGTGCTTGGGGGAGTGGGTGAACATTCACCAGTGGCATTCTATGAAGGGACTTAAAATAAGTAACTTTTATATTTTTTCTTCCATCCTAGAAAACTAATTTCCTGGGGGTGATTCAAAGAAGGTATCTTTGTTTCCTAACCTTAAAAATGGAACACACAGTGAGTCCATGAAGTGCACTGAAGGATAAACAGAATTTTGTAGATGGGCAGCCTCACAACCATGGCCATGCTAAGAAAAAGTCCTAAGCACCCAGAAAAAGTCCTAAGCCTATGAAAAAGCTATATTCACAATCTCCCAGGCTTCCAATCAGTCCCAAAGCCCACAGTCCTATGGCTTCCTTCTTGCCCACTCAGCATCCTCAAAAAGAAGTTGCTGATCCCTCCGGATGTTTAGAGACTGAGGCCAGAGGCATTCGGGTACAAAAAGTAAGCAGAGGCCAAAGAGACTGAGCAGATTTCAAGGGCCAGGTTGATGAGATGGCAAAATCTAAAAGCCAGGGGAATGGAGGAAGACAACATTCCAGGCAGAAGCCAGGAAGATTCCACTAAACCAGGGGTTCCAGAAGTGCGGTCCTGAACCAGCAGTATCACCACCATCGAATTAAAATGCAAATTCTATTCTAGGGCCCAACCCTAAACCTGCTGAATCAGGAACTGTGGGGGTGGGGCCCTCCAGGTAAGTCTGAAGCAGTGGTTAGAGAAGGACACACTAAACCATAAAAAGTATTTGCATTTACAAAGGGACCAAGAGGTTGGGGGTGGCAGGCCAGGTTGAGAGGTCCACTGGTTCCCCAGATGTCTGAGATCCCTTCAGTGGGAGGGATCCAGGAAGATAAGGCCACCCCCACTTACAAGGTAGCCAGCTCCAGCTGAACTTTCTGCATAGGTCCTGTCCCTCTGTCTGTGCAAAAGTCGCCTCAGCTGATGCTGAAACTCACTCTCTAAACCAAAAACATCTTAAGAGCAAAGGCTGGGCAAAGACAAGGCCTTCTCACTCAGAGAGAGGGTCCCCTGGGCACAAGTGCCAACTCCCCTGAGCAGCAATCAAGTATTTTAATATGTATATAGGGTTTCTAGACGATGTTGAGAAAATTCTGTTCTTCTGTTGAGAATTGGATCAGAGACAAAATTTATGATATGGTTAAACATATTCCCAGTACCTTCTTCCTGGTACTCTAGTCAAAATGATCTTTAATACAAATAGTCTTTATCCAAAAAAGGAATAACAGAAGCTATGCAAAGAGATAAGGCCAACCATCAGAGATAGGGGGAAGGGGAGCTTTAGAAAAGATAAAAGCCAAATGGTTTCCCCTACCCACCCCTGATCACTGCTCCCTTTTCAACTGGGCTACCAACAAGGGGAGACAGAGAAAAAATGAAAGGCAGTCAAGAGGCTTTAAATAATGTGCTGCCCAATATAGTAGCCACTAACCATCTGTGGCTATTTCAATTAATTAGAATTTCAAAAAATTAAAAGTTCACTTTCTCAGTCACACTAGCCACATTTCAAATGCTCGATGCTAAAGGTGGCTTATGGCTACCATATTGCGCGAGGCAGATAAAGAACAATTTGACCATTGCAAAAAGTTCTGTTGGACAGTGCTGAGTTAGAAGAACCTATGCCTCTTTAAAAGTGGGGAAGAGGAGACCATATGCTTCCTTAATTAGAAGACTATCTTTCTGTTAGCTGATGATCTAAAGATAAGATGCTGGGAGAAAGAGCTAACACCTTCCTGCTATAATAAAAGGGTTCAAAGGGCACATTTTATGAAGTTAGAAAGGATTTTTTTTTTTTCCTTATTGGCCTGAAAATCTGATCACTTCCCTTCCCATTAATACACTTTAAAAATCTAAAGTGACTGCTATTACAATTTGTAATTCACTGTTCTCAAGTGGAAGTTCATGCACTAGAAGGCAGGTTTCACCCAGGGACCCGCACTGCCCAGGTTCACAGATCTTCAAAAACCTTTGATGGCTTGTGGCTTGGTGATTTTGTTTTGGTTTTAACTAAGCTTTGTCTCTAAAATCTATTTGTTTTCCTCCAGTTAAAAGACTGATCCCTAAAATACAGGGAAAAGAGTACCAGTAATTCTATCACTGTGAATTTCCTTCCAGTCTTTTTACCATGTTGTTTTCTGCTGCTTTTAGATATAATATTATTTCCCTTCCTGAGGGTGAAATAAACATCTGTTTCCTTATAGTTTTCTTTATGTTTAATTTTTATGTAGAATTTTTCCCATTTATTCAAAACATTTTTAATATCACGTTTTTCTCAGGTGGATCTTTTTTTTATATGCTTTCTTTTAAAAAAAAAGTGGATGAAAACATTTTATTTATATATACTGGAAATAGTGACAACCTCGGTAGAGCTCAAATGCCCACAGTCCCAGGAATTCAGCCTCCCTTCTCCGACCCTAGCATTAAAACAAGGAAAATGCGTTTACCCTCGGGCCACCCCCAAAGACATATAAAGGGTCTAAAAATATCTGCCCCACGTGTTCTACTCATCGTCCACAATTCCTTTCCCAGGAGGGCCCGATGTGGTGGGAAGAATGGCGCACGAGGAGTAAGAAGGCTCCACCTTTTCTCAGCCCTGAGGCCTGAGAGGTGACCACATCTTTCTCGGATTTCATCTCCTCCATTCACTCTTTTACTGAGTACATGCTGAGCACAACATACAGTAGGAATAGCCAGTACTCAAGCCGAGCGTGATCCCTATAGCTGTACCAGTATCCAGAAATGGCTTCAATGACTCCTATCCATGGACTGAGAGCAGCTGAGAAGGAGCAGAAAGAAAGTCCCAAGGGAAGTTCTTGGACAGCAGGTGAAAGGGGATAGATACCAGTTTCCCTGGACATCCAAAGGCAGAGAATAATGGTTGGACCTGTGGCTGTCAACCACCAACGGGCCAGATACTTCTGGGGCAGTGGTAGTGAGTCCCTCTCTGTGGGAGGGATCTCCAGGGGAAAATCTTGAGAGGGAGAGGCCCCCAAAGGGCCTACCTCACAAGATCTCACATCTGCAGGGGTACCAATCCCTTCGGGAAGCTCCTCTTACTCTGTAAGCAAGGGCAGGTAGCAGAGACCCAGAACCACCACAGTGCCTAATTCCAGGGGGCACCACTCATGTGGACCCCATCACACCGCCTACAAAGTGGGTGGAACTGCCCAGAGTTGTACAGACACAGGCTCTGGTCATATGGATCTGGCTTTGTGTCTTGCCTCTGGCCCTTCCCTGTGATCTAAGGCCAAGTTGCTCAATCTTTCAAAGCCCAATCCCATATCTATAAAATGGAGATAATAGGAGTACCCAGCCTCATAGGGCTCCTATGAGGATAAAATGAGGAAATTCATAAAAGTGCTTTTGCTCAGCCTGACACACAATAGGTCACTGAGTAACAGCTCCTTCTCCAGATGGTTACTCATCCCCTTCAATAGAACATTACTACTTTCAGGGGCCTGGGCGGGGTGGGGCTTTAAGCCCTGGAGGGGAAGGGGCAGAACTTTGCTTCCCAGCAAGGATCACTGCCCAGTGCACAACAGGTGCTCAGTACATGTCTGGAGACTATCTCGATGGCAAGTCCACCCTCACTCATATTGTTCTATTACTGAGAGGATTCTTACTTGGATTTCCCATTTCTTCTCTATCCACTCCTTTGATTGTGTAGATTCTGAGTGCAAAGCGTGGCCCTAGAAGCCACCAAGATATGGAAATGACTAAGCACGATTTGGGGCCAAAGTGGAAGCGCACAGTGCTTGCTGCAGTGCCAGGTGGGACAGACCCCCGCAAAGCTGGATTTTGGTATTTTCTCGACAGGCTCCCGTCCCTGTGTGCAAAAGCCTCTTCTGTTTTAGACAGTCAAGAAGAGAGCAAATAACTACAAAGGCAAAAGGGCAGGTTCCATTTTCATGCGATGTTATAATAACAACTGTGAGTCAAAAGGGGTTGTAGAGTGACCACAGTGGCAGGTGGCAGTGTCAAATCACAATCGTGTATTCTGCTGACTCGCCACTCAACGGCACCACTAACAAGCGGGTGTCCAGGAGTGCGGCCCAGCCTCCTGACTACAAGCCTTCCTCAGTAACCAGCACATGCAAGCAGCCCTCAAAAGAAGCTAAACCGAAATACCTCCTGCTGCAGCACAGCCAGACCCCGGGGCCTCGCAACATCCTTCCTGCTCTCTGGCCCTTCCTGCTCACCTCTCCTGATAAGAGGCGCCCCCACCCAGCCTCCAGGCATGGAGGGGGTCACCAGGCAGAGAAAGGCCAGGAACTCCAAGCCTCAGCCAGGGTCTCCCTCCCTCTAGACCACAAGGGAGAAGAAGCATCTGCTCCCATGGGGCCCAGAGCCCCTGTGGACAGACACCCTGAGAGCAGGGTCGGACCTGGGTGCCGCTGCCTCGCATGAGGTCCTCGGGGATGGCGTAGATCTGGTTCTCCATCTCGACCTTCTGGAGCCCATTGTCCGTTACTCTCACCCGAAGGACGCGGAAATTAGTCCCTCCAAGGTCTAGAGCCAGGAACTCTCCGTGTTCTGCAGATAGGAATGGCCACTATTAGTTTGGAAAAGACAAGATCAAATGGCTTCACAGAGAGCAACACTTAAAACTCTTGCCATAAACACTAAATTCTTAAAACCCGCTGAGTCTTTAAAACACATGAGACCATAATTACTGGTGATGGGTGACCAGTGGATCTTAATTTCTCTATACACATTTAAGTATTGTCTGAATATTTTTCTTAACGCTAAGCACTTTTATATTACTTTTAGAATTCACATCAACAATGAGATAGTTTCACATGTGATGGTGGGGCACCCATCCCCTCACAGAGCTGACTGTTTCCCAGGGGCTTTCAGCCAAGTCCCCATCAAGCTCATGGGGCCCATCAAGCTCTGAGCCAGGAGTCTATGCCTCTGTTTTGTTCTTCATGCCCCCAGGACACCCAGCACGCTGCTACAGGCCTGTGGGCCCCTGGGCCTTCTGCCAAATTGTGATCTCTGTACAAAATTTACTCTTAATGTTCACATACAGTGATAGCAATGGCCTATGGTAAGATGAGAGCATCACGTGATGGAGCAAACTGGGGTCCAAATGGCTATAAATTAAGAGACCTGGCTAATAAGCTAAGCAGGTGCCCCTCAAAACGATCCCAGGCTTATTGAAATGTGAAAGAATGTTGACTCAAGAGTACGTAAGACGAGTGTCAGGCCAGTCGGCTGTTGCACTCAGACAAGCCACAAAGCTGGAGCAGAGAGGTGAGAGTGAAATTCCACAGACACAAGTGGGTCAAGATCTTCAGATGTCACCAGGAAGATAAAGTTCCCTCACCTCCAGGAAACAAGCAGGGCAGATAGAAAACATCCAGGTTCTAGACAGTAATATATAGCTGGCTGCAGGGACATGCTCCATTGTGTGGCAAGGAATGAAAGTGCTGAAGAAGTGCAGAGGCCACAGCCAGGGCTGGGGGAGGAGGTGGGCTCGCCCCCTCCACAGTCTCCTCGATCAGTAATGGCTCCATCAGTCTTCTACTGCCCGGCTGCACACCTTCTCAAAGGACACAGGGTTATTTCCTGGGGGATTCACTTACTAGCATGTTTGTCACCATCAGCCCTTTTCCCAATGGGAGACTGCCTCTGAAGTAAGGCGGAATGGATCAGAGGATCGGGGAAATGCTCTGACCAAATGAACCATCCAGGGTTTATTCTGTGCCCAGGTCCCCTCGGCAGCTCTAACTCTCAAAGCCCTGAGAAAAGCCACGACCGCCTGGTCTCTGAGAGAACTCCCCACAGCCTATACAATCTAGAGAGGCAAATTGGGGCACACATCACCCACCCGAGATTCCATGGGGACTTGCCTCCACGCAGCCGTGGTCTGGTGGTCCAATATACAGAGACTGGCTCTGAGCTCACATCGCCTGTGTCAGAACTTGGCCACTGCTTGGTTTGGCAAGTTCCTGAGCCAGTGAGGCTCAGATGCCACATCTCTAAAATGGGAACATCATAGCTTGTGCAGTTGTTGTGAGGGAAAAGCTAGAAAATATGCCCCAGGGACCCAGCTCAGTACCAAGAACTTAGGCCCCACTCAATAAATAAAAGAAACTTTCCATCCAGGCTCTCAGCAAACACTGCCCAATGCCCACACTTGAGCCTTCCAGGCCCAGTGTTAGGGCCGCCTATCGGACTGAAAAGCAAAATCAACATTGCCAGGGGAGATTAAGGGACCTGTCCAAGAAAAGCCATTGGAATCTGCTCCAGTGGCTTCAGCATTCCTCCGCAGGGGTACGGATTTTCCCTTCCCTCCTCGGCATCTGAAGGTCCCCCTCCCCGCCCCACTAGCTACAGTTGTTAGACAGCTGGGGCAACCTCAACCCCACAGAGGGTGGCTCTGCCCATCTCGTGGCCATGAGCGACTTTTCCAGGCATTCCGGTGCTGAGCCCCCCGGGGTAGTGGGACCTCAGCCAGATAGAAGGAAAAGCTGTGTGGCGGTTGTCATGAGGGATAAAAAGGAAAATCAAAGATGAACTGCCTGCATCAGCGCTCTGCAGCGCAGGGCACATGCAATCCGCTGAATCGGCGACCACGGGGGGTCGAGGCGGCTGAGGCTGCCCCTGGTTGGTCACGATTCAAGCCCAGTCCAGCTCAATTCACTGGAGGGACACTGCTCCATCAAGAATGGTGGTTCTGCAGTAGTATTTTCTGATGGACTGAAGAGAATCCACAAATTAAGTACTACTGATAATTCTGTTCCCAGGGGAGAATGTCATCTCTCCTTTCAGCCTCTGCCAGAACAGATATCACGCTGCATCCCACCCACCGGCACCCCCTCCACAAACACGTGGACTACCATAGCCAGACCGCGACTACCATAGCCAGAAACGATATTCTTTCCACAGCCCACAACCTCTGAGGCAGGTCCAGCACCATGATTCCTGGAGCTAAAGCTTAAGGTGACTCCTTAGGATGGTAAACAGATCCCTCTCCTAGGGCCAACCTCCATGCCATGTGTGAGGGGCCCCCAAAAAGCAGCGGCTAAGAGCTGGACTTTAGAGACGGGGTGGGCAGGCTTTAAATTCCAGCACAGCTGCTTCATTACCTGTGTGGCCTCGCTGAGCATGTCACCTCACCTGTAGAACAGGAGCTCAATGCTGACTTCTCCTGGGGATCATGAGGCTTTCATGAAATACGGAAAATGTTATATGTGAATACATGGGTACACAGTAAGTCGTCAATTACTGGCATCGCTGTCATTATTCCTTTGTTTGATTGTGCAGTTCCCCTCCAGTTCTTCTCAGCCCCTCTAATCTCTACCCACTCCTACTCTTACTCCAGGCCCAAGTCTTGTCTCCACTGTGAACCTTCCGGGACATTCCAGAAGCCTGGAGCAGACAGTGCATGTGTGCGTGATGGTGCATGAAGGAGGATGGCATATATGGACCTGGGACACTCGCACTGGTCAGGGAGGAGTGAGGCTCTGGGATAGGAAACAATGCCAATGCAGGTTTGTTTCTCAAGTACACAACCAGTGTCAGAGGTCCAGAGACCATTCTGCTGAGTGACTACAGCTGGTATTTGAGAGAATGTATTAAGAAAACATCTCCGATTGCATTTCCTCATTGTTAAACAAAATGTTTGCGTGCCAACTGTGGAATGAGATCGTAAGGTCAGAGGTAAGGTTTCTCTTATTGTTAAGCATGCTATTATATCTGGAAAACAATTTTAACTTTTTAAAAATAACAAAACACAAACATCTGGTAAGAAGAAGTTCAAACAGTACTGAAGTGGACAAAATTAAAAGCAAACATCTTCATGCCCTGAAAGTAACCACAATTAATGTTTATTGGGTGCCCTTAGATGTATTTATTAAGACAAGGAAGGTTGTTACACTGAAGCATTCCAAGAAAGGGGTTTAAATCTCTGGTTGTAAGGATGTGTTTTTTTAATTTGGAAGATTTCGCCACCAAATTATCTTCCTAAAAGTTCTCACTAATTTCCATACAGACCAGCAGGTGGAATTCACTCTCACCAGTGTCCCTTGTTAGGTAGTGATCAATCTTTGTCAACTTCCTAGGTCGAAGTGGTATCTCATTTTAAAGTTTGGGTTTTTTCCTTTGTATAAGGCTAGACGTTTTGAATTATTAACTAACCTTTTTAATTCCTTGTTCTGTGAATTTTCTACTCACATCTTTGCCTTTTAAGAAAATACCGTTTTCTTAATAACCTAAAAGGGCTCTTTGTATATTAAATAAAATAGTTTTATTGGTTGTATATTTGCAATTATTTTTTTTTCCAGTTGGACATTTGTCTTTTAATTTTGTTTGTGGTATTTTTGCCATACAGAAATATGTAATTTTTATATTGTCAAAATATTTATGGTATCTGGGTTTTATGTTGTGTCCCAAGAAATTCTGAAGATGACATTAGTTTATCACCCTTCCTAAATATCTCCAATTCCTCCTAATGTGGTCACCACCACTGCTTAAATAAAGGAAGCAAGGTTTCACCATAGGTATATATAAAAGATCAAATTCATCTTCTACTTTATGTAATTTTTTTGAAAAATGAAGCCCAGAATACAGTCTTCATCTCTCTGTCCCTAGGACAGAGTTCGGACTTTTCCTCACTGATGTCTGGATTACCGTGATCATAAAACAATGGAAGACAGAGGTAAGTGAGAGAGATTTAGTTGATTAAGGCTCAACGTGCAGATGTTTTTAACAGAAGAGAAACGAACATTTGTTTAGCGGTGGTCACTTTGTTTACAAACATGATTTCATTAATCCTCAACAATCATGCGGGGCATTACAATTCTAGATTTGCAGATAACAAAACCAATATCCAGAGCCAGGTTTGGCTCTCCAGCAAAGCTATCTACTGCCATGACCAAGGAGGCTGCTCATGGAAATGTTATAAATCCTTAAATAAGGAATTCTTCGCCAGCAACGTCAAGTACATAAAATAAAACCCAGAAGTCATCAGCAGCCTCCGAGCTGGCAGAGGAAGTGACATCATGGTTCACAAGTTGAGTCACTTGGTTAAGGTCATACAGGAGTCAATGACTACTGGGTTTGAACCCAAGTTCATGTGGCCCCAAAGCCCATGCCTGTCTCACTGCACCACACCCACATCTCTTATGGTCCTGGTTCCTGGAAGCTGAGGGTGACCTGGTATCGAATCCAGGATAGAAGCAAATAAGCCAGTAAGTGGTGAAAAAGAAAGCAAAGTTGCCCTAATCTTTATCAGTAACTGCAGCCCATTCCCTTGGGCCGACTGAATGGCTCTTAGACTTGAGTGGGAGGTAGCAGACACACATCCACTGGCAAGAGGTGACATACGTCTTCTTCTCCTGAAAGGTTCTTCCCAGAGGAACCCAGACCTACTAAAGCTTATTGATGCAGGCTTTTCCAGTAGCCACAAATAGTTGTCATCTCATGCAATTATACCAAACCTCTGTTCCCACCTTACTGGAAACTCTCCAGTAAGCCCTCTACTGAAGGTCCTCCTAATTAAAAGCAATCCCTTTCAAAAATAGATA